TTTTTTTTTTTTTTTTTTGCTTGGGGAAACTTCTAGATAGAAGAAAACACAGAAAAACCTTGCTCCTATAGTGGTGGTTTCTGGCATGTGGCTTTAGGCATGTGTGAAACTATATAACAGCAATTCCTTATGGAAATTAGGGAAGCATTTAAATGCACAGGTTCACCTAAATATGTGTTTTTTAAATTTATCTTTTGATATGCAATTTTTTTTTTATCATAATCTTGTTTCACTTTTAAGAAAAGGAGTAAATCACTATCAACATAACATCCTTAATACATGAGTTATATTGCATACTCTTCTTTCACAGGCTGAGCCTTCAGGGCACCGTGGGTCTCATTCAGGATTTTGTGTCAGTGGGCAGGTGACCATTGCCTTATTCACAGTGACATCTATCGGCAAAAACAATATGCAAAGGGCCTCTTTCCCCATTAGAAGGCTTTTAGAGTACCTTTTTTATCTTTAGCATTCTTCTTTATCTTCTCCAAATCTCACCACTCAGTTTTTCCCAATCAGTTCAGAATTTTAGAGTACTTACTACAACTTAGCCTGTTATCATCTTTTCTAACTCAATATCCCTATTCTCAATCAATCATTCATCTATTTCTGACAGGGGAAGAGTCTATATCATCAGCACCATTTGCCAGTTTATTAATGAAAACATAAACCATAAAAAAGCTGGAGCTTTAACAGGACAAAGGGAAAACATAAATCAAGAAAAAATTCTCAGAAAAGCACCAAGAACTGGGTTCACATTTTCCTCAAAATCACTAAAGTGCTGCTAAAAAAGAAGAAATATTGAGGCCACATTTCTGTCTGTTGTTCATACAACTTTAGAAAGCAAAAGAACGGCAAGCAGTGTTGGCATTTCAACAGCTGATACTTCATTCAAAATATTTACAAACCAGAGACAGAAAAGTAATTAAATAAGATCTTCACAAAAACATTTTTTTCTACCTGTATGATTTTCATTTAATAACTGAAACTGTCAGTAGTATCTACAAATTATTCAAATTTATCTACCCAAGTACGTGGGTGAAATTTGATAAAATAGAAATTTGATAAAATAGATAGAGATGATGTGCTGCATCATTAATAGAGATGATGCAGCACATCATCTCTATTAATCAGAGGCTGAGAATCTTTGTTTTCACATGACAATCCAGTATTCTATTCTCCTGTCAGAGACATTCCCTGTCCTCAAATTCTGCTGCACAGGAGAAGACACACAGATCACACATGAGAAAGCTTCACCACAGTAAAAACTTGTACTTGGCATAAATGATGGAGAGATTGACAGAAATAGGAAAAAACCCCATGTATTTAGAAACATTTTTGTTTTGGCATTTCAGTATTATTTCCTGTCTCACAAAAACAGCAGACTTGCAGAGAAGGTCCCCTGTCACTGAGTCAAGTACATCACAAATAAGAAATACAGAAATAACAGTATCTAAGAGATTAAATCACAGACCAAATCTCTGTATTTCACATCTAAACTAGAAAGCAAGATCAGATTGGGTGGGAGAACAAAAAAATGTAACAGCTAGGTCAGAAATTAGTTGCAGTACATCTAGTAGCAGAGTGATAAGGGAAATTTCACCATGGTTTTTTTTTAGACTAATTAATAGACAGTAAAAGAAATAAGCCACATCTCTTGAGCAAGATTCCTCTGGTATTCATACCTTCATGCAGAGCTTAAAACCTGAAAGTGCTCCAAGTTTTTAAATTATTTTCAGCTTTTAAGATCTGAAGATTTAACTTGTAATCTGCCCTTTGTCTATTTAAAACCACAAGAATCTAAATCCAGATTTTCCTTTGCATTAAGTTTATAGAAACTGTACAATATATCTATAACCTATGTTATTTTATTCATATGCCACATTCCACTTTTTTGTCTGTGAGATTTATTAATTGATGGCTTGGGGTTTTTTCCTTCAAATTCATTCTTAGAATTCCTTTAGGTCACAGTTCATGCCTGGAAGCAATTGAAAGACAAATCTCTAAACCAGCAGAGAAAACATAGGTACCCATAGCAAATGGGTGTATGGCATCAAACAGATGTCTGGTGTATCTTCAGCCCACTGTACTCCAGAAGGGAAGAGAGCTACATCTCAGGTTTTTTGTTTGACATAAACAAAATTCCCAGCAGATGTTAAACATGTGCAACATTAAAAACATCATGAGAATTATGACAAATGCTATAAGCATAGCAGAGCAGACTGCTTCCCTCCTGAGCCCAAAACAGTACAGTTGACCCTAGGGCTCTGCTGTGGTTTATTTAATCCTGAGAATAAGTTTATGGGTGATCAACCTTCCAGCAGTCCACAATTCTTGACAGCTACTATTTTCAGCAAATACACTCTAAGTTTTTTTGGTCACTGAGCATTTTGTTCTTAATATAAAGGCTCCAAGTGTGTCAGAGTGTTAAGAGTTGATCAAAGGGACATGTGGCTGCGGGGTGCTGGCGGGTGTGATGACGTATTTCAGCCTCAATTTCTATAGAGGACAACATGGAGTTCATACTTGAGATAAGATTCTCTGGAAGCATGTTGAGTAGTCTGTTTGAGGCTCAGTGTAGCTTGGGCACACAGGAAATTAGTCACTGAGGGCCCAGCCAAGTGCTCAGAGCTGAGACTGTGTCTAAATTCACACTTTACAGTTGTAGGGGATGGATCACCTGAGAAGTTGTTCCCAAAGGATTTCAGGTAACTGAGCATTTCTACTCTTTTTCTGATGTTCCAGCCAGGCCAGTCTAACAGGAACATGGCATCTCCACAAAAGGGGAATTACTTGAAGGATGACTTATTCTAAAACTTACTAGCATAACAATAAAAATAGTCAAAATTTCAAAAATGCACTATCAGAAACTTGCAGAATTGATACTACTTCCAAAAATATTTTATAAATACACTAATACTACACTACGCAAAGACAGACTTCAAACGATGGGTGATAATTTTTTCAAACTTAAAGTTGCAGGCGTTAATTATAAAAGTATAGCCTTCTCTGTAAAACTTTAGTCTTTTCAATAGAAAATACAAGACACATTCATAAAATCCATATTTTATTTTGTAAAATCCTTATAAATATAAAAGAATTTAATCATCCACTGTTTACAATAGGTAAGAAATACGCAAAACTTCTGTTTACACTATGAAGCAGTAGCCTTATTCCTTTCTCTTCTGAGACTAACTAATCCTTTGTATCCTTCCTGCAATTTGTAAACCTTTTTTTCCACATTCTGTAGCTACTCACATAACAGGGAAACATATGAGATCCAATCCTAAATCTAAAAAAGGGAGTGAAAACGTACAACACATTCCTGATTTTTTAGCAGTTTTGCTAATGCCTTTTATTTCTCCAGTGGTCTGTTTGTGGTTTTCTTCAGAAAATATTCAAAAGGCATTGGGAGGCCTTGCAGGATAGAATAGCTATATTCTGGGGAGGGGGAAACAAAAAATTCCACATATCTTAAACTAAGATAGAATATCTCTATATCTATGTCTAATTTATTGTTCTAAAACAGCATATAATGTCAATCCTGATTGTTATTTCCCTCATGTTTGTTCATGTAAGATCAAATGACCCACTGAGGTAAAAGGCAAAGCTTATAAAACCTATTTAGAAATTAATTCAAGGAGAGCAGTTATGGAAGATGAATTTGTCAGAAGTACTACAGAGATTGGTGTTAGTTGCTGCCAGTAAAACCTCTAGCTGCCTTTTTCAGGTATCACTCACTGGATTTCACTATGCAGTTCTCACAGCTTGAGAGTAATATAATTCTATCCTAAGCTACATCCTATGGCATGCTCATTAATAAAAATATTTGGTGTAAAAAAACCCAATTATATTCAGATAAAAAAAGCTCCTGAGAGAAACACTGGGTCAAGTCGACTCATAAAGACAGACGTTTCAACATATTGCTATTGAGGGCTGAGCTTTTTATTCGATGTTGACTTGATTCCAATTTCTTTGGCTCTCTCTGACTTGTTCTCTTTGGTGTTGGAATATAAGTGCAACCACTGAAGTTCAACTATGAAACAGAACATCAGCCAGCACCTTGACACATTCTATACCTGGGCAGTACTGTGCTCCACAGCGAGATGAGAGGTAAGCAGCATGTGGTTCACGCTGCAGTGTGCAATGGCCTGGAACAACAGCTATCCCTGCTTCTTGAGCTTCAGTGGCAAAAGTCTGATGATTACATGGATATTGTGTAATAATCCCCTATTTTTCACCAAATGCAACAAACTGGATTTAGGCACAAACAGCTCCCTCTATGCCTTTCCACCTTGCAGTTTTCAGTTTTCAGGACAATTTCATTGTGTGACATTGTGAAATTCAGGAATACCCAATCTACCTGACATGATCTTGCAATATACAAAATCCTTACTATTTGCTTATAAAAAACTCATCAGTCAGTACATCATTACTTCTATGAAGCAGCCAGAATAATAGGATCATATAAATATCTGTTTTACTTAAATACTGCTAATCATTACTGTTTTTTGTAGGAAAGTAAGCACGGTACTGCAGAAGTCAGCAATGAAATTACATCATCCTTGAAATATGTTTTCTTTGAGAACTGCAATGTGAGGTTTTTACAGAAACTAAGTGTTATGTTAGAGATCAGAAGAATTATCCCAGAACATCCTATACTGTTAATAATACCAAGGAACCTGTTCAGCAATTTACTGGCAAAATCTGGGCAACTCCTTCACCACATTTGACCCTTATGATTAGCAGTGACCTGTGTGTATGCAATGCTGATGGCCTAGTGCTTCCAAGCCAATGCACTCAAACCCAGTCAGACCTGTTAATATCAATGAATCTGTGATAACTCCAGACATACTTGCCTATGAGAAATGACTGCATGGAAACCACCAATAAAACAACACCTATTAGTTAAAACAACTAAAAAGAGAAATCACAAAGTATATTAACTATTAAAATGAATTCAGCCTTTGGTTTCAGAGGGAGCCTACTCTGGATTTACTCCTTTAATTCCTTCTGACTTCTCGTCCCCTTAGAGGCTGGGGAGGCCGGAAGTTTCTCAGCAAGCAGCAGGCGACCTCATCCTCAGCAGTGCTCAGGAGGCTGCGGAATTTGGCCAGCTGTAACCAAAAGACACACAAGGTTCAGCAGAAAACCCTCATATCAACACTAATCAAAAAACATGTAGATATTACAGGCACTTGTCATGTTTTTCCACCTTAAAGAACAGAGCTGTATTTTATTAAGTCATGAGGGGAACAGCAATTTCACCATTTCTATTATTTTAAATGAAAAAGGGGATGACTACTGCAAAAATATCCCAAAATACATGTCAACATGAAACTGAGCATAAGGATTACTTGTTTCCTTCATCCACACTTTGTCTTCCATAACCTAATCTAAACAAGGGGTTATATATATTTTTAGTTATATTTCATTTTTTGGAGATTCTGAAATGCTTTTTGCCAAAAGATAAGATTATGTTTCTTACCATACGAACATTCTGCAAATGGTTCCTTCTTCAAAGAGTATATTTACAATTTACCTGGAAGAACCACACCAGCTTTGGTGCTACAGAAAGCTTCTGCAACTAGCACTCACTCAAACCAGGAGAGATTCCAAATTCTTCTCCTGTGATGATACAGGACAAGCACTTATTTATAACTCAGTATATGCTAATCTCAGCAGAAATTCCATCAGAGCTCCATGTCTAAACCTTGGGAAATCTGAGCCAGATTACTGACCTAAGTATAGAATTTTGTTTAATTTCAAATCTTTCCAATAGTTAACTATTTCTACATATCACTTTACTTCCCTCCTAGGTTACGAAAGGTAGGACAGTACGAAAACCATTCCATTATAATAGAGCATTTAGTTGTAATGGCACATTGCATCATAATGACATTAGGAACAAAAAAGGTCAATCCTATATTACTTCAACCTATTCTGAAGCTAATTTCAGGGTCCTGTAAGTTTCTAAAAATTTAAAAGCTATTTTTAATTTCTTTCAACCTGAAAGGTGCAACAAAAAGTCTGTAGTAAATGCTAAAGCCCTACAGAAATACAAACTTGAGGAATAAAATTAAATGGTAGAACAATATTAGTCACAGTACTGGCTGATCAATCACAATGTTGGACATTACTGGACACAAATGGTTTAGCTGTGTGCATGTTTATATTGATAAGAATATAGCAATTTCTACTTTAATACATAAGATATAGTTAAAGTTTATGAAAAATTACTAATAAAGGATCACTATACTTGACACTTTCCCACGCCATGTTTCCTGAGCCTGTTACATGTGGCTGTTTATATACAGCATTTCACATTTTAGAATGCATTAATTAAAGATTTGCCCAAATAAGAAGCTTTAAACCTGAAAAATGGCTTGTTTTTAAGACAAGTTTTCAATCCTACATCCAAACATGTTGCAGTGAGCCTTACAAAGCCAGATTGAGGGGAGTGAGGAAGAAATACAGATGAGAAAAATACACACATTGAGCAAATAAATGACTTCAAATCAGTTACAAACAGAAATCTGAGGTTTCCTAGCAAATAATCAATTCAGGGAACTGTCTTAATATTTACAGCAAAGACTGAAGTCACCACTTCTGCTGAGTATATTTACTGTCTCTACTCAGAAATACTTTACACCTAAGAGGATCAGCCCGCTGGGTGTCACTGTTGCCAAGTTAAGATACAGCAAGAAGCCTTAAAAAGAAATGTAAAGAGACTCTTGTAAATAGACTCTTTAATGTCGAATCACAGCTTTCCTAAAACAGCCTAGCATAACCCTAACTTATTACAGTAGTATTCTCTTTTCACAATTCTAGTAAGTTCATCGATTTTTATGTATTTAGAATGCAAGAAGACATTTACTACTTGTCTGCCAGATGAGGTTTGAGCAGATAATGCTCAATATGCAAATAATTAAATCAACTGGACTTCCAGAATTTCTAAGCATCGCTAGAAATCTTTTTTTAAGTTCGCTATGGATAATTTTTGTTTATTAATTGTTAGAGTATGCAGATTCTTTTTAAAAATTAAAAATAAATAGCTGTTACAACAAGAAAGGCAACTAGTCAGAATAAATTTGATATACAAATTTTGACTTCTGAAAATCTTGTAAGGTCTGCAGTGCCAAGGTCTCTGAAAACCCATAATTTTGGGTGGCATTTACAATTTCCATTCTTACAAAAGCAACATTTCTATAGCAGTGAAAAATCCAAAGATACCTGCTCAGAACAAACATTTATGGGCTCTCTCAGAACAATCCAGATAACACTTTCAAGAAGAGGTGGAACAGTGAGAGAGCCAAAATAAGTCCAGTAGTCCAGGGACTTGGGAAGCAGACAGCTGGGGTCGAAGTTTGTGAATAGTGCTTTTTTTCCCTGGAAAGAAATAAAAGAAAAAGAAATACCAGGGCAATATTATTTAAAAGCAAGAGGCCAAAGTAAATCATGCCAAAGGAGGTATAGCTTGTTCCATTATCAAGTGGGCTGGCACCATCTTGGGTGATGACAGGAAATCCTCATCACTGCCCTTCTGATGAGGTTTTACCTCAGTGACAGCTTTGCTGTGACTTTCCTTGATGCCAGCAGGACACAGATAACATGACACCTTTCAGATGTCACCTTTAAGTTACAGATGACCATGAAATGGAAGTTGAGGGGAAAAGAGAGAAGATGTTTGGCTTTCAATGAGGTCTCTGTGGGGCTGGCAGAGTAACCCCACAGGTTTCTGCTACTGGCTTCCTTCCCCACTCCTCCCAGGAATTACTTCTGCTTCCCCCTGTACTGGATATCAGGCCACAGATGTCTGTCTGAACATCATGTTGAGAGTCTGGCTGATTTCACTCTCACAAGCTGTAGGTTCTTACCCTGTACCTCATCAAAACAGGGAAGGAAGTCTTTCCCTCATCTTTTTTACAGCTTTCCACAAAGTATGTTTTTCCCCTGTTACTATCCTCATAGCAACAGATTTATCAGAGACTGGGTTCTGTGAAGAATTAGCAAATTCCTCTAATATTTTACTGTGTAAAAATTATTTTTTTGTCTACTTAGTTTTCAGCTTAAACAGAATGCATATAAACTGTCTCAAATCAGGTATCAATCACTAGAGATAGGAAACATGAAGGTACAGGGAGTAGCAGTCAGGTTTCTAAAAATAAAAAAATACTACCAAAAAATAAAAAAAAAACAACAAAAGCAACACCACTATTAGCTAGCATTCTTTTAGAAGCACTTGTTCACCTTGATTCTGATGGTGTCCAAGCGGTCAGTAATCTTGTTCAGTTGAGGGTTGCATTCACCAATCTATTAACACCAAAGAAAAAAAAACCACTGGAACTCCAGAGAAAAGCAACAAAAATTAATAAAAAAGCAAATGCGTAATGAAATTGCTTTATATAACTGAAGTGACTGAAAGATCTGATGCATTTTGTGAGTACAAGCCTGTGACTAGCTGGTCCTTAGTAATAATACTGGTCATAAGAAGATTCACTCCCTTGCTGATAGCATTCTGGGTCCTCATAGTAATTACTTCAGCTACAAAATAATTACGAACTTGTGACTACAGGGGTATAGAAACTATTTATATTTTATGTTTTATGTTTCAATATGCAGGATATGAAAAGTTACAGACTAACATCAAAAATTTAAACTGTTTATAACATTGAAAACAATGTTCTTACATGAGAACATTCCAAACTGAATTTGTGTGCTAAGAAATCCAATGACACTTCCATTGAGTCACTGTAATGCAAACTGGAAAGACAAAATTACTGAATTGCTGAAGCAGTTCTTTGCAACTGCTGCGTGGAATGGCTCTCTGACTGTGCCAGCACCCATACTAGCTGCTCTCAGGAAGCTGTTATCAGCCACCAGAAACCACAGAATTAACCAAAGCCCTATCTTTTGCCATTGATTGTGTGAAGTCCCCATCTGCTTATTCATACAGAATTCAGTGAAGCTGTTGCACGCATTTAATCTTAGAACAGGTAGAGAAGGCAAAAAAAGGGTATAAAATAATTATTAGGAAATTCTCCAGTTTCTGGTTTTGCATTATTTAATTATTATTATTTTCTAGAAGAAGCTACCAGCTCAGAAACAAGCCATTAAGAAAGCATTTAAATCAAGCTGTCCCCCTAAAGGAACATGTTAGTCAAGAACAAGTTACTGGGATCTAAATAGGGGCAGCTGAATTAGGTTCCACGGCTAATGTTGTTTGGGCTTGCAGACTAGGCAAACTGAAGAATTTGCCTGTCTTGAAAAATCTGTTAAGCTGATATTTTTATTCTTAAAGGAAGCACAGCTTTCTATATTGGCAGCTAAACACTATGAAGGAAATAAGTATAAAACAAGTATCTCTTTAGCAATACTTACACAAACCATAACCATTATCTCTTTGGGCTTATAAAGCAGATTTATTATGAGGGATGAAGCATTCTCTTCTTACCTTCAGAAATACAGCCATGACTGCTAGTCCATCTGACTGACAAGCTGCCTCAACAAAACTGGAATACTTCTCTGCATTCCAATGGACCACATGAAGCTGAAAAGCAAGAGACACAGACAGCATCAACTTTCACTGAACTCTAGTGGCAAATTAATATTACAACTTTACTTTTATTTCACTCTTTTGTATGTAGAATCATTCAGTGTTCTAAATGCAGATATTTCATGAAATCAGTAAATATGTAGATCACACAAATGGCAAAAGCATTTCCGGTGGCTGAGATTATTAAAAATTTAGCAGCAATCGGCACACCACAGTGCCTGTCAAATTGCTGTTGGGTCCCCATATTTTGAACGGAGAAGTTAAGACAAAAAAAAGAAAGCCAGTGGTTATATAACTAGAAGTTTTAAATCCATTTTTAGTACAGCTGATTCTAAAATGTGATTGAAATTCTGAGGATGTCATTAGTATTTTACTCCTCTTTTTTCTTTTAATCAAGCAACATTAATCATCCACATAAATGGCTAGAAAACAGGCAAATACATATTAAACTTGCACTGACCCCTTTTCCGTTCTTTAGCTTAAGGGAACATCAGCATTTTATTTTTAAAATTTTAAAATGTTATTTTCTATGACTACCAGTAGTGATGCCCTTACAAGCAGCTTGATTATCTCAGGTTTGAGCATTTGCATTTGTAACATGCATTATTTTGGAAGTGTCCTGTCATATTTGCTTAAGAAGCTTAAAGGCACTACCAAGCCAGGATGGAAGAGGAAAAGCCTGTGATGCCTATTTCCATGCCACTTAAGTACCTCTTGTAAAATTAGGTTTCCTAATTCCTGACCATACTTCATGACAGGAGCTTCTGGTTCCCAAGAATTCCAGGTTGTTCCAACCTTGAGCAATATTCTGACTGCCAAACTGGAGAGAGCACACTCACACAGCACTTAACTCTAATTACTTCACAAATCTTTCACAAATCCTCAAAGGATTAGTAAATCTTATTACATATAATTTTTAGTTAAAGATGGTCAGAAACAGGGCATGAGATTGGCTTTTCTAAAATTGGTGACCATCTTTTCAGATTTTGAACTTCAAGAATGCTGAAAAACAACTAATTGAATTACTTAAACTGGGATGAACTCATGAAAAAAAAAAAGGCTTCCTTTTGGAACATAGCACCTACAGGACAAGTAAAGTAAGAAAAATTTAGGAAAGCTGAAACCTGTTTTAAAGGATTTCTATCTAAAGCAACATAGCTGCATGGTTGATATAGGGATCTAGAAGTATGAAGATTTTTATTCTAAATATCAATCCTTGCTTAACCTCTACAAGTTACAATTTTCCATATCTATAAAATGGAACTCTTAGTCTTACTTGGCATCAACATTTTAAGCATTTGGGCTCTAAGGTGATGAAACATTACTTGCAGCAAGTAAGGACATGTACAGCCATGATGACATGCATGCTGGTTCACAGCATTAGAAATCCTTGAAGGAAAGTTGCTAAGAATATTATACATTAAACCAAGAGGAGAACATAGTACACTAAAACTTTCTCAAGTGCATTAATATCCTGGGGTTCGTAGTGTCTGCACTGCTCCCTATTGTAAGTTCACAGAGCCTATGTTGAACAACTTTTAAACAATTACATTTTTACATACACAAAAAGGAAACAGATACTCTTAGTCAGAAATTACCTTTATTGTGGATTTGGGAAAAAAAAAAAAACAAACCACCATCAAAAAGAACACCCAACAAAAAACAAAAAGGAAAATTCCCACAGCTATTAAAAGCTCACTCCCACTCCCTAATAGCTTTGCCAAAAAACCCCAGAAGGTAACCCTCCAAAAACCAGACCCCCAAACAGAGTGTGAAACACTTTTGGGTACAGACCCGTTCTCAATGGCGTGTGACTTCTCTTAGGAATATATCCTGTCTTACCACCGTGGTGTCACTGCAGCTTGTGAAGCGACCTTGATGAGACTGTATGCTGTCACAGAGAATGGAGCCACAGATCCCTTCTGCTTCCTGGTGGGCTTAAGGGCCAAACCTTGCAGTCTTCCTTACCTGTACATTAATTCTTTCTTCAATTCAGTCGATGCTTTTTCTTCAAACCTCGCACATCTTCCTTACAAAGGTGAGCACTGAAAACATCTTCATGTCTCCTTCTGAGGTATTTTCGTTTGTGTCAGCAATATTCAGAAGCCTTGGTTTTAATTCTGAGTTTCTTATCTCAAAGCCAAAGTGACATCTAGAGAGCTTCTTGTGGAGCGTTACCCAACCAACAGGTAACAGAAAGGCTTTTAGACTGGCTAGAAATTCAGAGATATTTTCTCGTTCCATTTGGTTTCTTAGATGGGAAACATATATTTTCTCAGCTAGAAATTTGGGGTTGGTACTTAATGGTTTTAAAGCACCTCTATTAATTCTTTATATTCCATCTCACCTGGTTCCTGTGGAAAACATAAGCCTTTAAACACTGCAAATGTCACTTTTCCCCATTAGTGTTAGAAAACCAATCTTTTTTCCTGACCAGTATCTCTTATACAATTTCCAGTAAAATCTGATCACATCACAGTGCATACATTACATCTCTTTCTTCTGCAGTATTATGCCTTTCATTTGTCCATTTATTTTTACCCTTTTTACTTCTTTTTAACCCCAGAAAACTCTACACTGTCTGAATCATATGTTTTCAAATATATCAATCTCCTGAAAATATTCCATGTTACTTCCATTTTGAAAGAGGAATCTCATACTGAGAACTTTCTTCTGCAGATTACTCAAATACACCAAAGACAGAGCAGGAGTGAATGCTCCATGCCAGAGCAGATGGTGCACTTCTCCCTGTGGCGTACCACCTCCACTGAAGCACAGTACCCCACAGACAGCAGCCACCCCACAGACAGCAGGCATCCCAAGATATTAAAGCATGGTTCCCAAAGTCATAACCACCACATTGCTAAGTGCACCACAAAATGCAACGTTCTTAAGTCATGCACTTACACTACATACTTTACACTACATAGGCCCCAAATCCAATAATTCTGTGGTTTGTCATTGAAGATGACTTTGAAAATGTTCTCCAAGGAAGAAATAATGAAAGACAAAGTTTAAAATAACTCTTGAACATTAAGTCTTGCTCTTATCAAGCTCTTGTCTTCTGTACTCCTTTTTTAATCCTCTGCAAAGCTTTCAAAGAGGTTCTCCTTTGAGAAAGGATTAAACATGCAACACTTCAGGAAGACCACTTGTCTTTTGATAAAATGAGGGGAAGATGAAAAGCAGGAAGAGGGACGGCAACATATTTTTGCAATGGAAAACTAGTCACAAGCTTAGAGGTACAGATGACTCCATGTAAAGTCTTACCTCTGCCGCATACTTCATCCCATCCACAGTGTGCTCAGAGCCAGCTTCATCATTGGATCCCCAGTGGAAATGAATCTGGCGCAGCCTGTAGGTCCCACTGAGTGGCCCCCCAGTCAGCACTGGAAACCCAAGCAGAGGAAAAGGCTTCACTGAGAGAACAGGAGTCTCCACCCACATCCTCTAACCTCACACCAGAATTCAGTCTTCGGACACTCCTCTGCTCCTGCTCATAAGTTGTCTCAGATGGCTTTCTGTTTCCTGGAAGTGCTACAGAAACCCTCACCTGTCAAGGATATGACTATGAAAATTGCATTTATGGGCTGATTAGTGGGTTATGACCCACTAAAGGGTATACTGTTATTGTCAAGGTTGGATATTTCTCAGAGAATGGGAAAATACTCCTATTTTTCAACACTCAAGAGTTTCCTGTCTTGATTATTTTCAAAATAATTATTAAGAAATTAAGCTCAAAATATAGATTTTATGAATAAGGAGCAGAATCATTAAAATTTAATGCCAGCAGAATTTATTTTTGTCTTTGAAATTTGGTGGAAAATAGGAGGAGCTGCAATTTTCAGGGCTCTTTCCTTCATTTGCAACTAGATCCAGTTATATCAGATTGAAGTCTGAGGAAAATGAGCTTATATTAACATAAATAAAATTAAGCCAATGCTATATGTGCATTGTACAACTGCAACATTACTGTCAATTAGCCAGGGCTGGAAAGCATGTCTTATGAGGAGCAGCTGTGTAATTTGGGCTTGTCTAGTTTGGAGAAAAGGAGGCTGAGTGGTGTCCTCGCTGCTCTCTACTTCTGCAGAGGCGAAGCAGAGAGGGGGCTGCTGGTCTCTTGTCTCAAGTATCCAGTGACAGCACTCATGGATAAGGCTCAAAGCTGTGCCAGAGAAGATTTAAACTGGATGCTAGGAAGCATTTCCTTACCACGATGGTGGTCAAACCCTGTAACAAGCTTCCTAGAAAGCTTGTCAAGCCCCAGGTTTATCAGATTTTAAGAGGCATTTGGACAATGCCCTTAACAACATCCTTTAACTTTTGGTTAGCCCTGAACTGCTCAGGCAGTTGGACATGATCGCTGCAGGTTCCTTCCACCTGAAAGAGTCTACTCTACTCTATTCTATTCTTTCTATTTATATTCTGTTCTGCTCTAATTCTATTCAAAGTAGCATGCATATGGGTGGGCTTTTCATTATTTTGTTTTTGCAAGTGTTCATAATTTTCTTGTCACACTTAGAATCAAAATATCTCTTCACAGAGAATGTGGAATGTGAATTACAATCAGAGAGTTACTTATTCACAGCAAAACAAATCACTCCATGCTCACAACTCTGTATGTCCTCTGACTGTTTGGAAGTCAGTCTGGAACAGTTTACTGGCTCATTACAGAAATTTTAAAGGGAAATGAAGGGAGATTTAACCAGATTTTTTTTTTTTTTAATTAAGAGCAGTAGGGAGGACAATAACAATTTTTTCTCTCTTTTAGGTTTAGTGCAAAACCTACATATTTTTAGGAACAAAATACACCAAATAAAGATTAAAGAAGAATTTTTAAGTTGCCTATTTGCTAAAACAAGTAGCTTGGATAACGAAAAAGAACTGGGACTGTTTATTCTGGGGAAAAATATTTAACTTCCTTAAATCTTCAACTCAAAAAACATGCATTTTCACAGCCTATAAACTTAGCAAACAGAGGACATGGAGCAGTGGCACTTTTAAATTCTTTATTTTAAGGACTGTAAACTTCAATGCAAATGATGCTAGAAAAGTGTAAAGATCAGTGTTCTAACTGGCTGAGGAAAAACTATTATGTAGAAATGCACCAGCATAAAATACTTATGCTGAAAAATGTGGAAAATGGCCTGTTGATGTAATTGTACCACATCACACAGTGATGGTAAAACCATTTCATTCCAACAGTAATTAAGGAAGAGGGTAGTCAGAAATTCTTAAGGCAAATATCAGTATCTTTTGAAAAATACTGGAAGAAGATCAATAGCACAATTTCAAAGAATGGAGTTAATGTGGTACCAAAGAGCATAAACAGACTTACACAAACAGCTACAGACTTGACAGCCCAGTTCCAGTGCTGACCAAAGTGAGGAAATAGTTCATATGGGAGTCAATTAATAATGCATTAGAAGATGCTAATGTATTTAGTACCAATTAATTTGATTTTTTCATGAAACCAGCACATGGCAGGAGTTCTTACTTCACAGAGGTGCCCCAGAAGCCAAATTTGGGCCCTAGAAAATTCAGTATTTTTTGAGCAATGACCTGAAAGAAAACAAAAACAATACTGATAAAGTTTGTCAGTGACAAATATTAGGGAAAATAGTGAATTATTCAATTTATGGTTGTGGACTGAAGAATCTAGTCCATGCATAGGAGACAAGGAGTCTACTGAAGGAGAGTGGGTATTCCATCTGTTAATTATCTGATCAACATCCGTTAGTGCTTTGCCATGATATGAACTATATCCTTGGAGATATGGCCTGGGGAAAGCAGTAAGAGGAGGATTCCATCACCATTACTTTGGTACCTAGAGAAACACTGTCAGTTCTTGAAAGGAGTTAACAGAGTGGAAGAGGTTCTTGGTGTATTCACATTCATTAACTTTTTTTCTTTTAAACTGTGAGGGTGATTAACAATTTGAACAACTTACCAAAGGCTGTGGTAGGTTCAGCATCGCTGGAAAATTTGAAATCAAGATTGTATATTTTTCTAAGAGATGTGCTTTAGTTCACCAGCATCTACTAGGCTCGGAGCAGAGATTAGTTCTGGGAAGTTCCATGGCACCTGACACAAGGTCAGACTGATCATTGATGGTCAGCTGGTGGCTTTCAGGCAACATCCAATGCTGACAGAAAGTTTAAAACTAAGACTGTTCAGGAAACAAAAACACAGCAGTGTCCTCATGTGTGTCTCTCCCTCTTGTCACTATGAGCTAGTAAGTCCTCAGGACTAAGGGGTCATCAAAAATTAGTCTCTCTCTGGCTTTGATGCTTGTGAAAGCATCATACGGTCTTGGATCCTGAGCTAAGCCTCACACAGCCACAAAACTATTTTATTGCTTCAATATTCTGCACTCCTACAGCTAGAAGAGGAGGCATGCTGGCCTGCCCAAAATCCAAGAGAAGGTTTCAAAGATGAAGGCACTAACATTACAAAGACTATGATACATCAGAGAACTTCTAAATGAGAACTGTTGTTTGCAAAAAGGGAAGCTACATACTCCTGGAAAAGACCTGGGCAATAATACTTTTCAGAGAAGAAAAGAGATTACTTGAGATCTATTTCATTTGTTCTGTATTGGCTCTTACTTGTCATAAGAAGTCTGAGTATAGGTTGTAAAAAAGGGAAAAACATATAACCAAACCTGCAGATAAATTCAGATAAGAGATTTGAGCGATTCGGTTGGAATGAACCTGTAATGAGACACAAAGGATTCATCTGCAGTGAGAGAGAGAGCAGCATTTGAAAGATTGTACACAACACTGTTCAAACAGGGGGCTTGCACTATCCAGCTGGTGAGGGTGGATCAAACACTCCTGTAAGTAGGGAATCCCAGCACTTTCTGAGAAACACAACCTCGAACTTGTGTCCAAATATGTTCCCACACTGCATCATGCTGAAGGACAGGGAAAAAGGAATCTCTCATCCAAAGGAGCAAAGCCTTACTGTTTATAAGGAGTTCATACCCAGCAATGAGATGTGCCCAGACTGTAGGCATTCTATTTAGGAATTGGTGGAGGAAGTTACAGTGCAAGAATAAAGGAACAAACCTGATTTGTTGACGGTGTCATCAAACTCCACACTGGTGGAGTGCCCGTTGTTAAGGATGATTTTAGCAGAAGCTGGATCATAACTGGGATTTAGAGGACGGAGGGAGGGATCATACTTGGTATCCTCAGTTTTGATGTCAATGGGTGACTGACGGTCTCCGTTAGCGACAGGAAAAACCTCCTTCCAGTGGGCAGGCCCTGCAATGCATTGGAGGAGAAGTCTAAATTGCTGACAGCAGCCTCATTCTTATGAAAGGAAACTACTTGAATTGTCCTCATCTGCATCTTTTAAATTAAAAAGGATGCATCAGGAAAACACAGATCAAAAAATTCAGCTAGTTTTGCTGCATCATATTGCAATAGCAGTTCTCCGGACCCCTTCCCTTGCATGCCCTTTTAAATAAGGCCACAGGATGTAGATAATTATTCCCAGGTGAGACTCAGCTATGCACAAGACACATAAAACAAATGCTCATTCAAATCAGGCATCCTGTAACCAACAGGCACTATGTCCCAATACATTTTTGACATGCCATTTTTGCCTAATATCATGTCTCTAATATTTAATATCGTGTCTTTAGTGATTACCTCTCTTCTATGCAAATCTCTGCATTAAGAATTTTTTATGCCTTAGTAATTTGCTGCAAAAGACCTGAGAACACATCTTCCCTGATCACTCTGAATGAGATGGGGAGATGTTAAAAAAGGTGACTGGTGGTGTCAGAAAATCCTGAGTGGCTCCTGGAGCCTGATGGCAGTGCCTGGAACCTAAACACTGCTGCACCGCTGATCACCCCTTCCCAGCCCACCAACTGTGCACATCAGCTGTCACAAGAAAGAGAGACTGTCACCCTCTAATCATGAAGTGTCCATGCACACAGGCACACATACACACACACTAGTGCAGCACTGACAAAATCAAAGAACAGGAACACTCAGTACAGTGGTGCCTGCATGAGGTTTGTATTTCTACTGCCTTCAGCTGATGAGAGTAGATCTTCCAGACACAGATGAAGTGACATTGACCTGACTTAGGTAGAAATAATAGGACTAAAGAGGCTGTTAATCAATACCAGTCATCTCAGTCTTCCTCTGTCCAAGCAGGCTAAGCAAAATGTCACCTGAAAAGCTAATAAATCAATAATATGGATATGAGAAAATGGCAAATAACATCCTAAAATAGTAAGAAAATCTTCACTGATGAGATGTGTGAGTTATCTGTTGTTACCTACTAAACACCTGAGAGTTCCCAATAATTCACAATAAGAATATGCATGCCATTTTTTAACCATATTTGGATAAGAAGGTAAAGAAAAATATGAAGAGTAAGTTGCCTGGGGAATATATTCTATAAAGACAGAAAACAAGGTTTAGGATGGAAATGAGGGGAGAGCAACGGGAAAGAAGAAAGGAAAAAGTGAAAGATGAAAGTCTGCAGGGCAAACGATCTTTTAGTATTAAGAAGTGCACAGAACTTGTTTTTCCTCCAGGCTTATAATGGGTAAAAAAGCATAATAAATCAATTGAGAGACTGGGTATAAGAAATACTTAATATGAGCATTAGAACCTGGTCAAATAAAATCTGCATCACTGGAAATCCTCATAACTAACTCCCTATGCTGTAGATAACTGACCTCAGTGCAAAAATTTGGTTTGAGTCTTTCTGGATGATTTAGCACTTAAATAAAAATAATGACAAAAAAGGATGAAAATGTATAAGGCAGTGGTTAATAGCCTAACCTCAAAAGCTATCATTTTCTTTCCTTGACTTCAATAGAAGTGAACACAGCTCAGAAACTCACAGGTGCTAAAAGCACCCATGCACCCCGGCAGTAAATCAGGGATGAAGCGCCCACAGCGCCGGGGGCTGCAGCTTGCACAGCACCTGTGCAGACAATGATTCTCCTCTTAGCAGCACTGAAAAACAGAAGTGGGAAAAACTTGTAAAGAATGGCCTAAGACTTAAGCCTCAGAACAAAGACGAAGGCCTTCAGTCTTCATTTTTTTAAAAGGTACTTTTGTTGATTACTTCATTAACTAAACTAAATAAGGAAATAGAGTCTAAGGCCGAAGATTAAAATCCTACTGGTTTGAAACAGAAAACTGCTCAACTTAATTCCCCTCAGTTCATGAATGGTCATCAACTCTATTCAATATTCTAAGTACATACTGTTTAGAATGTAATTTTAATTGTATTTAGATCCTAATATCCTGTATTTAGGAATGCAAAACAAAATTTTATTTGTAAGAAGCACCACTCCATAATTTATACCTCACTACCAAGATTTGGAATTACTAAAAAATGTTTATTGCTACTTAATTTTAATAATTCTAATACTCCTTAACTGAGAAAAGCCAAAAATATATTTATGCACTTAACTACTTGGTCTCTTATTGCTCTGTCTCAGAAATAACTATAGTTATTTGAATTAATAATATGGATGACTTGCATTCAGAAATAATACAAAGTAAGCGGACCCAAGGCTGTGATTCTGTCACTATTTAATTATTTAACAGTAACATTCAGTTCTAAAAAGACATTATGGCTAGTTTGGCACTTGTTCTTGGCTCAGATGAACAAAATACTGGTTCACTATGGTGATTAAACATCTACCAGTAAACCAACTACCAGACATCTGACCTTTCAAAATATACAGGAAAGTATCAAGAACCTTTGGTTCATTTTACACCACTAGATTATATCAAGAGGTATTCCTTACTAGGTAATCTACCAGCAATCTATTACAATTATCATGCTAATTATCATGCTCTTGCCACTCTAGGAAAACTTTGACTCAATTCATTTCTACAGACCCCAGCCCAATGCAAACTTTGTGTATGACTGTCATAAAAAAAAAAAAAAAAGTCATTACTATTGAAAGAAATACATGTCATACAATCAGATTTAAGTCAGTGGGGTCCCCAGGGTTAAAATTTATTGTGAATTAGATTCCTCCATATAAAAATAATGTACACTTCAGTTTTCTAAGCATGCACTTTAAGACATATCCAGGGAGTATAACTAATTAATTCACCTCCCTTCATGTTTTCCTTTACTGAATGAAAGTGATTAATATACCAGTTTTTGAACTTATGAAATCCTCTCCTACTGCTGGGAAAATGTTCTCTTGCTAGAGGCAATTTTCTAGTAGCTCTTAACAATCAAAGCTATTGTGACTGAGATTTATGACAAAAAACTGAACCATCTGCTCTGACGATTTCATGCCTTTATTTTGGACACAGCATTACCACAGGCATTGAATTATTTTAGGTCAGACTATCGCTGCACATACCACTCACCAGCATACAGCTAGTTCATGAAACAGATTTCATGACGAAGGCATTAAGAATTTGGCAGGAACCAGAACTCACTATAGCACCTCAGTGCTGCATTTTGATCCAGCTGAAGCTGAAGATCACAAATTTCACCAGCAGGATAACTTGAGACAAGCCCAGTGAAGACACTAGAAGATACAGCTAATATGTGCATAAAATGGAGCATGTACAGGTGAAAAGGGGTTTGAGTTTTTTGGTTTTTTTTTTTTTTTTTACAGTTTGTTATTATATATAGAAAATTCATTATTTTTTTGCAAATAATTTGATTGCATATTAGGTTACAGTAAGATGAGCTCAAACAAAAGCAACTAAAAATTCATTATGGGTAAAATTAAGCACCTTTTAAAAGCAGATATTGAAATGATGTAATTATTCTCAGAAAAAACATATAAGGAGTTATGGTTCGACTGAAGTATCTTAAAGAATTTTGCAATCAAAATAATTCTATGATTCTATGAATTAATATCCCTTTTATTTAGAAAATGCCTCAGCATTACTGTAGTAAATAGATCAAGAGAAATTTTTGCTGTAACAGATAATACATGTAAATAATTCCCATATATTTCATTAACAAAGTAGTAAACTGAAGTCAACTGATTTCCCACTGTGGTCCGTTCCAACCTTACTCATTTTTTGTTTTGTCTTTTAACTAAAGCAATTCCCCTGTAAACGGAAAAGGATTTAAGGAGCAAGAACATTCCCATCCTGACAGGAACCTTGAGCAGCAGTGAAAAGCATGCATGATGCCACACTGAAGCCAGTCTTCAAGATTTCAGTATTATGCTTCTACAGATAAGCATCATCAAAACTGTGAGGTAAGAAAAGTGGCAAGAAAGCAAAGGCCAAAGTTTTCACAGAAATAAAATAATGCCTTCATGCATTTCAGAAATAGGTGCATCAAAGTAACCGAGAACTTGTGCATTCGGTTTGTGTGACAAGACACTCGTAGCAGGGAGGCTGCAGGCTTCTGTGAGAAGCTGCTGAAGCTTTCCCCAGGTCCAATGGGGCCAGTGCCAGTTGGATCAAGGATGGACCCACTGCTGGACAAAACTAGGCCCATCAGGGACAGTGCTAGCACCTCTGGGATGAGAGCTTTAAGAAGGGGAAAAAGTTACTATGCAACAGCAGCTGAAAGTGAGGAGTGAGAATATGTGAGAGAAACAGCTCTGCAGACACCAAGAGGAAGGGGAGGACATGGTCCCAGAGCCACCACAGAGATTCCCTGCTCCATAGTGAAGACCAGGGTGAGGCAGCTGTGCCCTGTATGGAGGTCCACAGTGAAGCAGAGATCCACCTGCAGCCCACGGAGGGTCACAACTGGAGAAAGTGTGGCTTGAAGGAAGCTGTGACCTCGTGGACAGCCTACACTGGAACAGGCTCCTGGCAGGACCCCATGGGAAGCCCAGGCTGGAGCAGGTTTGCTGGCAGGACTTGGGGCCCCCTGGGGAATCTATGCTAGAGCAGTTTGTGAAAAACTACAGCCTGTGGGAAGCACTCACATTGGAGAAGTTCATGGAGGGCTGTCTCCATGGGAGGGACTCCATGCTGGAGCAGGGGCATAGTGAGTAGCCCTGCCGCTGAAGAGAAGGGAGAGGCAGAGACAACATGTGATTAACTGACCACAGCTGGTGCAGCAGAGGACATAGAGAAAATCAGGAGTGAAGTTGGGACTTCAATAAAGGGAGGGTTGGAGGGAAGCTGTTTTAAAGGTTTTATTTTCTTGTTACCCTACTCTGATTTGATAAGCAACAAACAAACTAATTTTCCCACGGTGAGTCTTGGGAAAAGTGACTGGAGAGTGATCTCCCCCTGTCCTTATCTTAACCCCTGAGCCTTTCAGTCTATTTTCTCTGCTCTGTCCAGCTGAGGAGGGGAGTGATACAGTGGCTTTTGTGGGCACCTGGTGTCCAGTCAGGGTCAATCCCCAAATATTTTAATCTTTACCTAACAGTGAGCCCATGTCCTTAAACATTGATATTCTATATATGCAGACATGTATGTTTTAGTATTTATCCGTTTACTTTATGCACATAGTGATTTATGTTGTGAGTGTTGCAAGTAGCAATTGCAGAACTCAGAGTGAACACAGATGTCTTTTCAACTCTTCAAGCAGTCAACCTGCACCACATTTAATTAATTTCACTTTATTTCTGTCTGAATTGCAAAAGGTAATCTTAGTTTCAGAGAAACTATTTCCAGTGCCATGAAGGCAAACAAAATTTTTCAATAATCAAAACAATTTCCTTCACCTGCTACTCAATCAAACAATAATAACAAGTAAAATCAATAAAATAAATGCAATAGAAGAGAAAAGGCTGAGAAATTAAACTGATGCTAGGGAAAAGCACTAAAGTGTTCAATATCCATGCCTCCCTCCCCTCATCTCCTGTGAAAGGTGTGGTGAAGGGGATGGACTGATGAGGAACTATCCATCCCACAGATGCTGTGGGGCTCCAAGAAAGAAGTGAAAGGCAAATTCCACCTCAAATATGTTACCAGGCAGGCAGTAAATAGAATTTCATAGGAGAGACAGGGTCTCAAGCAAGGTCCAGGGTCAACCCAGTAGACATTCTGGTAGCCTCCCCTCTCTGTAAGTTGAGAATAGCAAACAAGAAGAGATAGGATAAGGGAGGGAAAGTGGACTTCTTATCTAGGCAGTGCAGGTGAAGCTCAAAGCATAGAAACGTATAGAGAAAAAAATTGAAAAACAAGACCCATTTACGTCTTCAGGGGAGGGGTAGGGTAGACTGCACAACAGCAGATAACACACCCAATCATTGCAACATCCCTGTGATCCACCACCACCACCCAGTTTTTCAGGAAAAGTGCATCCATCCAGAAAAGATGGAACAAGAGGGCCAGGAAGGAAAGGTAAGACTTGCACAAATAATATTCCAAAGTCTACGTAATATACACAAAGTATATTCTTGTAAGCATTACTACATGCAAATATACAGCTGTCTCCCTTTACTGTCGCAGCATTTCATTTCTTTGTGTACAGACAATATAAGATATTCTATGTGATTTATCAGAGTTGAGCCTACAATTTACAAAAACACTTTTATTTTACTTGCATGACTTGTGAGACCGTCTGAACACTGGAGCAGCATTCGCATGACTAAAGATGCAAAACAGAGCCAAGTCTTTAAGCCTGCTGATGAGCCCATCTTGGGACTTCAAAGACTGACAAGATGAAGGAAATCACTGAACAACTAAAATCCAAAAGCGTCTCCTCTTAGGTGCATAGTCATACATTTAAATAAGCCCGTCAAGTAACTAGGATTTCCCACCGTGTAGTAGAAGCAGAGCAGAGCTGGCATCAGAAAAGCACTGCTGGTACATTAATTCCGATCAGTGCAGCTGTCAGCCACGTACTCGATCTGTGCACGCAACTGCTCAGCTGAAGGAGCGAACGAAATCCCCAGGCGGGAGCGCCGCAGACCCGACCCGGCTCTGCAGGCGGTGCCGCACGCACGGTCACCTCTCAGCCGCCTGCCTTGCAGAATGCCGAGGCAAAAATCGGCTCGCTGTCACGCTGCAAAGCGTTTCAGCTCGCCCAGCTCCCCCGAGGGCGCGGAGCTGCCGAGCCCAGCGGCGGGGAGCGCTGCCCGCCGGACCCCGCTGGCCGCCACGGCCGCTGTTCCTACCGTTGTGCTCCTCGTATCCCCAGTGCAGCATGGCTCCGCTCTCCTGCCGCCACGGGACGGGACGGGACGGGACGGGACGGGCTGGGGCGGGAGAGGCGGCTGCGCCCGATTTGAAGGCGACGGGCGGCGACGCCCCGATCCTCGGGCGCTGATAAGGAGACTGCAGCGCTCCGGCCCCCTGGCCCGTCCGCGCCTGTTGTCGTCCCATGCCCGTCGTCGCCCATGCTCTCCCCAGCCTTCCCCCAGCACCGTCGGGGTGGCCCGGGGGAGGCAGTGCCATCTCTCAAGAGCCCGCTCCAACAGAGGGAAGGCGGCTCCACCAGCCCCCGTCCCGCCAGGGCACGAGTTGTGCGGCAGGGAAAGACGGCAGTGCCCGTTCCTGG